GAGGGATGGATGCTTCGCCTGAAATAACTTTTGTATTCCTGAATAGTCTTCAGTGTTGTTGTCTGACGACAATAAAGTCGATTTGTGTGCATGACATCCCGCTTTTATATGTGATCAAATGTTCTGCTCTCTTTTTGAAATAAGTGTTCAACAGGGAGAGTTCATGGCTTTCAGCAAATTTCAAAATCCGTATACCGTCTTCGTTTTGAAACCCGTAGCCAAAGCCTCCATGGACATCGTGGAACCAATTTGTTTTATCTCCAACATGGCTGTTGAGGTCGCCACATATCAATGGTATCTGATGATGGTGTTTTATTGACGGCATCTGAGAGTGTGTTCCAGAAGTCATTTTTGGCATCTTCAGATTCACCGGTCTGTGGTGCATATGCAGAGAAAACAGTCAGAACATGTTTTCTCATTCTGAGTTTAATCAGCATTAGGCGTGAGCTGATTCGAACTACCTCCAGTACATTTTTTGCCAGTGATTCCCGTATAAAGATTCCCACTCCATTTTGGGCTGTCTTTTGGCCATTCCAGAACAACTTGTAACTCCCAATGAGACACCATTTGATTTTCATCTTGTTTCCTGCAGAGAACAGATATCAACCCTTCGCCTTTCCAGCATGTCGACGATCTCCATGGAGTGTCCAGTAAGCGATCCAGTATTTAAAGTGCCAAGTCTGATATTCCAGGAGGGAACGCCCGATTTTCCGCAACATCCCTCCACTGTTGCGTACTTCCTGGATATTGCCACCCCTTGACCATTCAAGGTCTTCCAGGGGAATAGGGGATCTTTTCTTTTTTTGTGATGACATGGAAGATGTTTGGGTCAAAAAATTTTTATATCTGGAATTGCCCAATTCCTAACGACAACCACCAGTTAAAAGTAGTGGGCCTAGCCTTTTTGCTGGAAGCACACAAGGCAGCGCGGTTGCAGTTTATCTCGTGTCCAAGAGAGCACTGTTGTAAGCCTTTGGGTCAAAGGTCCTTGTTCCACAAGGCAGTGGATTTAGAATCAAAGATCATTCGCTGTTGGAGCCGTTGTCTTTCCCCGTTGTCTTCTTTCTTCCTTCTTTCTTCTGGTACAGTTGGTTCGCGGCATCTTATTCCGTATTATTCGATGCAATTCTAGAAGGTATCCCTGTCCAGGACTTTCCCCTATCTACCAACTGGGGACGCCCTCATAGCCAGTGCACCCCAGCATGAAGAGCCTTTGAAAAAACGTTAAAAATTAATAAATCCGTTTTTATGAAAAAATAAATTTTGTTTTTCATGTAAAACATTAACATTATATTTGTTATTGATTTTTTTATGACATTTAAAAAAAATTATGATTTTTTTTATGTAATGTTTCATTATCTTCAAACACAACAAAGCAGTTGCATTATCTTTGTTTGAATAATCATTAAAAATTAATGATTCATTATAAGAAATAGGATTTGGTTTTTAAAACGAAAATCATTCTTTCCATTCAGTCTTTGCCAAGAGAGATTCTGTATACATTTTTCATAAGCACAGTAACTATAGTGTTTCTGCATTTACAAGATTACAGATACAGCGATCACTCCTATCAATTTTTAATTAGCTCAAATTTAAGGCATGGGTGCTGCAGAAATGTTACAGCAGGTGATTGTCAATACAAAATCTGTTAAACATCTGAACTTTTTTGAAATATGAAGTCATATATATAAGAAAATCTGAAACCAGAGTTGAAAGTTGAATCAGAAAATTTTTACTCGAAGTTTGAGTAGAAAAATTTTAAATTAAGTAGTCAGAATTGATACTTATTGTTATAGCAGTTATGATTTACTTTACGACAGGGAGGTTGCCTTCCAGCTGTCAGTGCCTAAAAGACGAATGACTAATCCAACTTGTTTAGTGCGGAACAACATCAGATCAGATCGATGTGAACCTATAATAGAAGTGTTATTCAGTAAGTGTTTTGGGAGAAATTTAATTTACAACCTTGCATATCTTATATTTTTACAAATGCCATATTTATTAAAGCATTCTCTATTTTAATTGTTTGTTCATTAGATGGCACGGCCTGCTACAATTATAATTCTAAGTTTGTAAAGTGTCAATACAAAAGCATGCTGTACAATTTACCATTAGTTTTCCTACGTGTGTTTCTATCTCCATATTTATAATTTTTACCAAAAGTGCCCCAGTCAGAATTTTAGTGGAGTCGAATATTTTTTATCTGATTCCGAAAAATGTTATGAATTTACAAAAAAAAAAAAAAAACATTTTTTTTCTTTTGAAAATTGTTTAAGATCATATTTTTCAAAAAATTTTCAACAGACTCCAACACATTTAAAATTGTTGTTTATGCAAGCCTTGGTATTCATACCTTATACCTTGTTTGTACTTTTTTTAGATTGCCAAGGTGATTAAACAAACCTTAACTTTCTCTAGTGCATATTAGCGGTGGATTTATCAGGGTGTCGGAGTCGGAAAAAAGATTTTCTACTCCGGGTACAAATTTCCGACTCCACGCTCCGACTTCCAGAAAAAAATCTTTAACTTTTGCGTTATAACGCTAATTATTTACCAATATTGAATGAAAGATAAAAAAAAATTTAAATCAGTCGATGTTACTGTTTTTCTGAATAAAGCCCATGTTTTAACATATGCTGAAAGATAGTTATGAAAATTGTTGTAAGATGGTTATAAAAATTGTCTGCATTATTGTGCACTGCTAATTGTTCGTGGATGTGAACTTTATTATCGTCTTGAACTTTATTTTTGAGGCCTTACAGATCATAAAGTTCATGTTTTGATAACTGCAAAAATGCAAGCAATGATTGCCAATGAGTTCAAACTAAAAAAGTTACTACACGCAGCAGCAGTGTCGGCAGCATGCTGGACTAGACGATATGTTATTTAACGCTCATCACTAGTCCAGCTCTAATAAAATTAAATAGGCTTCATATTAAACAATTGATTACTGACTTGCATTAATACAACAACAACAACACACGTTTAGACGACATTTTCCCCGAGATCGGGGGTTGCATTAATAACAATAAGTTTACAATTTGACTAGTATAACACTTAAAGTAGTCGCCTTTTGAACTTTGTTTTGTTTTGAATTTATTGAACTTTTATGAAGTTTAAATTTTTTATAACTTTACAACTAGGCTAAAAAGAGCGTTGTTTTTTCAGGGTGTTCGAGTCTGATAACTCCTAAAAAATTTTCAACCTTTGCTTCATGATTTTAAAATAAAAAAAACACTTGAAATCAGTCAATATAATTATTTTTCTTAGTAAAATTACTTTATATTTATGTTTTAAAACATAATTATTATTAAAGATGTTTAATATCGCTATTCTAATATATCTTCTAAAAAACACGATCTTAAAAAAATTTGAGAATAAAAAATTTTCAATTTCTTAACACTTTCCGGAGTCTAATATCTGACTGACCCCTCAAAATGATTGCCTATGAGTTGCAGCTGTGCAAAAATGCCAGTTTCATAGTTGACGAAAAAAGAAACATTTTTACTAGATACACCGTATAGTGAATTTGGCTATACACTGAACAGTTGATCTACTATTCAGCTGAAGGCCGAATACTAAAAACCAAAATTAAAAAAATATTAATTTTCTATAATGATTAACAAGCTATTAAAAAAACAGTAAGCGATTTATATCTATCTAACTAACTATTTTTTATCGGGATTATTCAATTCTTTGTTCAAATTTGGCTATTTTAACAGATATTATGGCAAAAATAAATTTTCCGCTAATAATATTTAAAATGTATTGTTCTAGAACCCAAAAAAGTGATGGTTTTATAATGGTTTTAATGGAAATTGCACAATTCGGTTATTAGACCTTATTAGCGGAAAATTTATTTTTGCCATAATATCTGTTAAAATATCTTAATTTGAACAAGAGATTGAAAGTTTAATTTAGTTGTTGTTTTATGTTATTTTTTTTGTTTCGAGAGTTGATAAATTGTTTTAGTTTATTTTCGGGATTACGTTTAATATAATTTAAGTTTCAAATATTTCTTAATTTTCGTTATTTATAGTTTATTTGAAAATTTGTTGAAAAGTTGCGTTGTTACGTAATATGCTTGCACATATAATCTGTGTTATTAAAGTTATTTCTGGTTGTGATAGTTGTTTTATGTTTCAAGCTCACCTGGACGACGTACAAGAATATTAAATTGTTATGTCTTTAAATTAATATTAAATTGTTATGGCTTTAAAATGTGCGAAAACAAAATTTGTTAAATCAGGTAAACAAAATTTGCAATGCATCAATGTTTTCAGTGTGAAGATAAGTTTTCACATAAAATGCGTTGGTTTAAGTGATGAGGCTTTTGAAGAGACACTTAGTTTCGATAGCTTTAAATGGTTCTGTGATATTTTTTTTGAAGTAGTTAAGCAATGTTAAAACTCTCTCTTAAATAATTAGCGACAACAACGATGAGATCAATTTAAAAGTCGACAAAGTTAATGAAATGAACGGTTTGCTGAAAAATGAACTGAAATTGATGAGAGATGTTGAACAGCGCAAAATTAGATAGGCTTGATAGCAGGTTGCCTGCCGTGATCAACACATTCAAAAGTGATTTGAAATCTTCCTTTGCCCTGTTGTTGGACAAGAGGTTAAGAAAAACACCGAGTGTGTCAATCTAGAAGTTAAAAATTAACCGAGTCAATTGATATAAAAGACAAGAAAAAAGATATAATAATTTTCAATTTACAAGAAGGTGATGGTGATAAAATTCGTGTTAAAACATTTTATTGAAATTGTCTGATGATATAAAAGATTTCTATATAAAACATGTTAAAAGACTTGGAAAGAAAAACGAATCATCCACGTGTCCAATATTTATAGTATTGGATAGTTTGATGTCTAGTGGGAAGATGGCATATTGTGAAGTTTAGAAATTAACTGATGAGAACGTTACTGCTTAAAAATTGACCAATGAAAATTACAATGATTTAAAAATTGTCCAGGGACTCCTCAACATAATATCTATAATGTCATTAATTGAAACATTGCATGGGTCGTCAAATGAATTTGCTGTTCGATGTGCAATATTCCCTGGTTTTAACATTGTAGATTACGCTAAATCTCACGATCCATATCATGGCGGAATCATAATTTATTTAAAGAAAGAATTCATTTATGAAACTGTTGAATTACTTGTCGTGATAACTTTTAAAGCCGTTGCGATTAAATTGACAATAAACAATTCTGATTTTATTTTGTTATCAATTTATAGACCTGGATCGGTTCTACCTTCACCGTCGTTCTCTTTAGAACTAATGAACGTTTTAGAAGTTTCATCGCTGTTAAGTGATAAAATTGTGGCGGCGGGAGATTTTAATGTTCATATGGAGAGGAGAGATGATCCAAACACAGCCTCATTAAATGATGTTTTTAATTTTGTCAGTTGGTTAACAGAATTAACGAACTAACGCATTAGTTAGGTGGTGTTTTAGACTTGATCGTCACTTCTCGGTTTTTGTGAATGGTAAAAACACAGTAAAGATTTTTGTGAATGAACTGAAAAAATTGCAGACATAATAGCTCCAAAACACGTAATTGAAAGTAGAGATGATTTGTTGACGCCGTGGTTTGAAAGGGGTTGTTCAAAGTCTAAGGCATACAGCAGAAAAATGGAAAGGAAGTACAGAAAGACGATAACCGCCATGATAGGGAGATGTGGAAAAATTCGCCCATAAAAAAAATTTGTTTTGAAAAAAAATCATTTTTGAAAATAATACAAATTCTAAAAAAATCTGGACTGTATTAAATAAACTATTGTGCAAGGAAAGAACTTCAAATTCATTTACCAATTTTGAAGCGAACGATTTTGCTACATTTTTATGACAGGTACGAGAATCGATGGTGTTTGATGAGAAGTTTAATCATTCATCTGGTGTCTGCTGCAGCAACTTGTTTTCAATTTTTCTTGTTTATGACAAAAGCGAAATCGTTAAAACTCCATCTAAAACATGTCCATTGGATGTGTTCCTTCACAGTTTTTCAAAAAATATGTAGGAGTGTTTTCAAAATATTTGACGGACTTGATAAATTTATGTTTACGTACTAGTGAATTTTCGTCTACGTTAAAGCATGCTACAATTTCTCCTCTTTTGAAAAAAGAAAAATTAGACAACTTTAATCTTAATAATTATAGACTGGTTTTAAATCTGTCGATCTTGTCAAAATTAATCGAGAGAATGGTTTCTAAGGAGCTTATGAAACACTTAGATGAAAACAATTTGTCAGGTTATAGAAGACATCACTCTCCCGGAACTGCTCTGTTGTATGTGTTGTTTAAGTTGCATGAAAATATATCAATCAATCAATCTTCGTTTTGCGTCCAGAGACCCGGTTTCCCGAGGTAGGACATTGTTTTCTTTGCCATCAACTTTTTGCGCCAAATTAGACGATCAGTTTTATCCATTTCATTTAAATTTAGAGCTTTCATGTCTTGCTCGATTGTTTGCGACCAGGACTTCTTTGGACGGCCTTTGGGACGTGTGCCAGGTACTTCAACATCTGCAAGAGAAGTTATGGCACTGTTTCCACTTCATTTGACATGACCAAACCACCGCAGACGGTGTTGCCGGCATTCGTCCTTTATATCATCTAAACCAGCACGACGCAGGTTCGGTAAGTTTTTTCATGAAAATATAAATAAAAGGATTTAAAGATTTTTAGATATGAGTTCAGCATTTGCATTGCATTTTCGACCATTGATTCTTCTGAAACGTCTTAATCAGAGATTCGGAATAACTGGTATAGTTGAACAATGGTTTCAGATAGAACTCATCAGATAATCTACAAGAATAAAACTTCCGCAGTTTTAACGATAGGATTTGGTGTTTCACGGGGCTCGGTTCTCGCACCAATATTGTTTATTCTGTACACCTCTGAAATTTTTGAGGTAATCAGATTACATAGATTGGAGAGTCATGCATTTGCAGATGATATCCATCCAGTTATTTGCCACAGAATCGTATAGCAAATTTCATCTTGCAGTTGATCGTTTTGTTAAATGTTTGGTCGAGAAATGGATGGCAAATGATTATCTCAAACTAAATTCAAAGCAAGACGCAACTTCTCTTAATTGGGACTTGGCAACAGCTGTCTAGAACAAATTTTAATTCAGTTATCATTGAAGGCCCAATGTAAACTTTATTCCCAAAGCCACGAACTTGGGTATCATTTTTGATTCAAGACTGTCAATGACTGAACATATCAAGTTTTTATCTGGAACCGCAACCCTACAACTGCGAAAATTAAAAATAATCCGTAGAAGTTTAACCAAAGATGTTATTCAAAGTTTAGTGCATTTGTTTATCCATTCTAGATTGGATTACTGCAACAGCTTATTTTATGAATTGCCTGAAAAATCTTATCTGCTCTTCAGTCAATTCAGAAAAGATCGTGGTTGGTGCAAAAAGGTATGACCATGTTACCCCGATATTTAGAGAACTGCACTGGTTGACGGTCGAAAAAAGAATTGTGTTCAAGATATCAACATTTATGTTCAAATGTATGAAGGGAATGGCGCCAGTTTATTTGAAAGAAATGTACGCACCGAAACAACTGTCTTCTAGGACAGTCTGCTTAAGGTCTGATGATAGCAATGTTATGTGTGCCACAGACCAATATGAGTATGGCGGAGAGAAGTTTCTCAATATGTGGACCAACTGTTTTTAAAATCTTTCCTAATTTCCCATATGTCTCCCTTTTTACTTTATTTATTGTTTCATTTTATAATATTGGCTTGCATGTTGTAACAAATACATCGTCTGTTAGCTTTTGAGTTTTATTAACTATGTTGGCAAAACTAATGACAGTCTAAGATATTTTAGTTGTCAACTAAATTATTTCAGTTTATCATTTAAGTAAGCTATTTTTTTAGTTCAACTATTGGTTTGCAATTGTTTAGTTGAACTTTGTCCATCACTAATCCGTTCACAACGCATCCAACTATAACAACCTAATTCGTAAGCTGTCGTTAGTTCACTAGCAGTTCTCCATGTGGGTTAGTCTGCCATTCATCACTGATTTAAAATATGACTTGAACAATTTCATTAGGATTTTAAATGGTGCCAACGGTCGACCATCCAAACCCTCTAGAAGCTATAAGAATATTGACTTGATTTTTATATAAAATATGTTTGCTTGATTATTGAATGTATAAAAATGCCACATCAATTATGCAATAATTTTTATTTGTAATTTTTTTGTTCATATATCCAGGGTGTAATATAAATATTGATATTCTTTGAACAAAATTGAAATTAAATTCTTTACAGTCAACGGTCATAAAGCTTTGTTCAAAACTGGTGATTTGAATGCTACTGAAATTATTGAAAAGTTCAACGAATTATGCACTGTCCACAATCCCAAATTGACCAAATAATTTAAAAATTTATAGTCGTTCAGAAAAACTAAATTTGACAAAAAAGAAATCATGATATCAAACAGTTTTTGTCGTTTTCATCGAAATTACAGTTCGTTTTGGCACCTTAAATAATTCAAATCAAAATCATTTTTATTTTAAAAAGTAATGAGATATTAATTAAAATACAATTTAAAATTGAAATATTAACTTTAATATATTAAAAAAATTCCAAGATTTAAGAGTTGATTTGATATTGCAGTGACAGCAAATGCAGCAAGATTTCTGCTTATCACGTGCAGTGTGTCTTACGCTAGATTCACGTTCTCAGGCATCGTGTGTTTCTATTAGCTGAGAATTAATAGAGAAAAAATAAAATGTTTCGGTATACACTTTGAAGCACCACATGTTTCAGCATAACAGTTCCTGATTGTTCAATTGATTATTAACTAGGGATCAATTATACGAAACTTCAAACTGAGAACGTAGCGGTTAAATCATATTTTTTGTGAGCAATATAAAAAATAGAAACGTAATTGGAAAATAAAATCATTTTACTATTTCTTACTTGTGAAACTGCTTTCAACAGTTTGAACACATTTATTACATTTCAAATGACATTTTAGCTTTTTTTTTGAGGGTATACTTTTTGAAGAATGTTCAGCAAAAACTGGGGAGCAATTCTTGTTACAGTAGGTGATTTCTTTTAGAACATTTTTAGTTGTGGCATCTGCTGTGTGACTTTGAGCGTCACAACTCTCAATTGGTGTGTATTTGACTTCAAACTTTTTTTCGCTCATGGGATTATGTTTAAAATTTGTTGGCAATTTCTTTTTTTCTTTTTCAAATGTATTATTAATGCAATCATTCATATCCTCAACCGACTTTTCAACTGTCAGTTTTGTTCCTTTTAAACAGGCGCCAAAATTAGTCCACATATTTTCTTTACGGTTGGCTATTGTATTTTCATGTTGGCTTAATTTATCATATTCTGAAATATATGACATGTTATCAGAAAAAGACTGAGAAAATAAAAAGGTGTCGACCATGTTTTGTTTATTTGCGTTGCTTAAAGTCTGAACTGAATTAGATGATGAAAAGAAGTGAAGTGGTATATCTTCAGAAGAACTTCTATGTGAATAGACACATTTTGGCGTATTTAGCAAAGATTTAGTTTTTCTATTTGTGTACTTTTTTAAAGAAGCTGGTTTTTTAAACACATTGTAAATGTTGTTTGATTTTGATTTATCTGTGTCAATTCTTTTGGTTCCGTTAGAACAAAATTTGGCTGACTTTGAATCACGACTCAAAAGTTCACACATATTTGAATCACGAACATTCGAGTGAACTGAAGAAGTAATTTTCATTTTCAGTGAATTATGGTTTATTCCACTTATTTTATTAAGTCTGTTAAAAAAATTTTAGTTTGCATATTGATACAATATAATTCTAATCTTAGATATTTTACACAAGTATGTAACATAAATGACTTACAGGTACTTGTTCATAATATATGTTATATTATTATTATCAATATTAAAAGCGTTAATTAAAATTACTCAAAGCAATAATATGCATGAAATAAAATAAAGGCAAATCAGTGCAAGCTGCAATAATGAAACATGGCAACATTATTGAACCACAGACATAAAAAAATTAATTCGCATTGAAAATTAAAATATCTTCAATCCTTTCGTAATCATTTGTTGATAATCCCGGGTCCCTGAGAGATAACGACAAACTGCTCTGTACAGTTGGTCCAGATGAATCGATCCGATGTGACCTGATATGAAGCTGGAACCACCAAGAGATTCTGGTCACAGGATCTCAAATGAGCCCCAGACAGACTAGATAATTTTTTTTATAAATTTATCTTTATATACTTTGGAGCATTACCATTAAAAACTCTATGCACCAATACTGAAATTTTGTAAATAATTCTCTTATCTAAAGTCACCAATTAGTGATGTACGGTTCCTGTAATTTTTTAAGTATCCAGAAACCGTTTTTAAAATACAAACGGTACTGTTCCGGTACCTTAAACCTCTAAAAAATTGAAACAGTACTTGAAACTCCCGACTTCTGGAACCGACGGTACTTGGAACCGGTTCCAAAAGCTTCCAACCGGTGCCCCACCCTCAAAAATTAAAAACTCATTATGAAACAAATCTTAAGCTATTCAATATCTAATAGTTTTTTAGGCAATATTTTCTGTAATTTGGAAAGCATTTAAATTTTTCAATATAATAAAAACAGTCTTTACAACTTTTTTCGTATCATATACTACATAGACATATCGTTCATTAAATTCATTTAGTGTCC